AAACAATATTAAACTTCATAACTGTGTTACGATTTACTTCAATTATAGGCTAATAGCATTTCTTCGTTGCATCGCTATTCGTGGGGAATCGGTAATATTCATACCGAAACTAAAAAGTTGGAAATTTGAACGAACACTCTTTGAAAAAAAATATACAATTTTTCACATACATGTATTGGAATTTTTTACAGCATACGCGGCGATAGGAAAAACTTGATAAATAGTTATAAAAGTGTTATATTTGTGTACGAAATGTTAGTATTTTATGACAAAATTACACTACTTGTGTGTAAAATTAACTTATGAATAAAAAGTATCATATCCGTGTATGAAACTTTTTGGATAATATCTTGCAGTGAATCATTCAATTAACAATAATATTTTCTTAAGCAATTTTAGACAACAATGACGAACACAATCATCAACTTTATTTAAAAAGCCAAAACAAACAAATATAAAAAACTTAACAAACAATAAAGTTTAATAATAACATGATTAATTTTAGATTATTTGAATTGATTTTATAGAAAATCAGTACAAACAGCGAATATTTATTAAACGCGTTAATATGTCTCAAATAAACTGGATAGTGAAATTGTATTTATAGATCATCGAGGTCTTTTAATAAAACAGACTAAGTTTAAAGTTCATATAAGTCAAAGCAAGTCACGTTAATTCGAAATACCGTTAGTGTACTATTAATTATTCATAGAAATGGACCATGGAAATATTATTCAAACAATGAACAAGTAATTAAAAATGTATAGAGCATATAAACCGGAAAATGAACAAGACGCATAAAATTATAAAATGGTAGCGTATTAGTTTTCATAGAGAAGTTATACGTTTCAATTTGAAATTTTAAAAAGTACGGCTTCTTATACTATTTGACGTAAAACAACATCAATAATCAGACAGGAATTGAAGCAAGTATAAGCACATCGATTTCTATCGAGTACATTTTTCATGAATAAGGAAAATAAAAATACAAAGACATTACTTTTTTGTATCATCTAAAATCTACATAGTTGTAAACAACGCAAGTATTTACAGTGAATAAAAATCAACACAGATGTCATTGTTTAAGAACCATCTTTCAGCAAAAATTTCTTTCAGACTATTTTTTTTAAAAAGAAAACGCTGTGTTTGATAAGCATTCTATCTATTATGAATAATGCATAAAGTAACTATGTTATGTGTACAAGTAAATGCCAAGTTAAAGGTTACAAGAACATGCCGTCTTTTTTTTATCTATTAACTTTTCTTCTTTGTTCTGAATAATACGGCCGAGTGGCCAAAAAATGGCATCAGACTAAGCGTCAATAATGAACAGGGAATTGGATACGCTTTATTAGAAATGCAGTACGACCTGTTCACGTGGGTAAATTTTATCTCAAGTTTCCCATTTTGCACTATAACACAGAACCATGTGGTCTATTCACTTTAAATTAATGGCATTGAAATTCAACTAAAGCACTTCGATTTGCTCTTTGTAACACTCATATAAATTGTACTAATTGATCTAATAAACATCACAAGCAGTAGGTGTTCAAATTATTCAAAATATGTATATATATATATATAAATAATAACGTCCGGATCGCGGTTGAAGATATGCAAAGAGTAATATTTCTTATTAAAATACGACGAAATTTCAAACACATACACTAAAGAAGACTACTGCGAAAATCCACTAACTGAACGACAACGGACGAGGTGAACGGAAGGTAAGAGTGTAAGGCTGCCATCGTTAATTTAAGTTCAAAAGTCACACATACAACTTTGATAAATACATGTGAACCTAACTACTCTATGTACGTGGTTACATTCATTAATATTTAAATAAATGCATAACAACAATAATATTATATACTGTAGTTTAATTTTAAACTCGGTTGCTTGTCGATTTTCCTTCTCCTTATGCACATTTACAAAGAAGATCATAAAACAATGTATTTCAAACACCAAGCAAGATATTCTAATGCTAATGTCAGTTATTGTCAGTGTTCGTATCCCAAAGTTTATACACCATTTATTATTATCATTACAATTATTACTACTATACGAAACGTACAGATAAGTAGCCGTTATTTTATTACGAGCACCTCTCTTATATGCTTATAAATGTATATATGAGTAGTAATAAAACTAAGAATGATGCACGTAGGAAACACACGCAGAGTTTTCGTAGAGTGATTTTGGCGAAACGGAATGCAAAGAAACATATGAATTGGTATCTCATAAGGCCGTACAATATCAGTCGGCGGAAACAGATAAAAAGACGGAATTTGTCGCACGCGTTTATTTTCCAGTTTTTTTTTCATTCAATTTTCCTATTTCCTTAGCCGGCGAGGGCATATTTTGCGTCATGGATATTACATTAGTACAGATATGATTGTACGTTTATATTGCAACATTACATATATTTGTCACGAATAAAGGGACAACATATTTGTATCTTCGGTAAACAAAAAATAGTAACAATATTTTGAAACGTATATCGAATCAACATATTTTTCTCTAAACATAACCCCAAAATAAAATTTGAAAAAAAATAAATATATAAATAACATTTAATAAATGGAAAGAAAATTGATAACAATAACATAGGAAAGTTTTTAAAAACAAACTTTAATCGATTAGATTACAAAATTCTTTTATACCAAAGTTTTTCTTTACAGTACAATGGTCCGAGTGGATATTTTTTTAAGTTTCAAGATTTTTTTATGCCAAATAGACAATGAGTAGGAAAAATATTCAACGGTATTTTTTTATTTTATTTAAAAGGCAAAATACTTGAATCTTCAGGGAAATTTAAATTGAGTTGTATTTCGTCTATAGGATTGACCGTGGGTAAAAAAGAGTGTAATGACGCTGTTTGTATAATTTAATTTTGGCAGCTCCCGATTTCCATTTAAAGTGGTTCACAAAAAGTGATTTTCAAACCAACAGCGCAGAGTATTAAAACTCTAGTATTAACTAATTGAAGACCGGTTTATAAAATAGAAATAAGTTGCATAAAGTTTTATGGAAGTTGAGCAAGTTTTACAATTACCCATATTTTTTTTCAGCGAACTATAAATTTTTTATTAATACAAAAACCATAAATTTTTTCAACTAAAATTTTCAATATTTGATTAATGAGATTGCAACAATTTACGTGAATCATATAAACGGTCAAATAAGAAAAATATAGATTAAACATGAATTAAAACATTTGAACTCGATAGAGCAAACGGTATATAATTAAGAGTTCTACGAATGCATTAAGATTTACAAATGATTTCTAAAGAAAACCGTTGTGTTATAAAACAAATCTAATTTTTTATAGTACATTATCGTTTTTCGAATCGATTAATATTTCAGCATGACACGTGTTTTATTACAATTGTTTTCAACTGTAAAGACCCCCGTGTTAAATATTTGATAAAAAAGTAATCTTTTCGGAGGCGGCTTACATGCTACGTGAATTTTTTTTTTTTTTTTTAGTTATTATTCCAAGAATATTATTTACATGCGATATATACAATCCAAGAATCCATTTTAATCATTACGTTATAAATGTTATATTATGTGAATCGAGATATTTTTATATTGTTTAAAAAACGCTTGTACGACTAAACGACTCCAACATCTCAGACGCACGTTGCTATTTTTTAACGATTGTTCAACGTCACATGGTACACATAAAGCCGACCGCAACAGACAATAGGTACCGGGTCGTTGGTCAATAGATCTTTTTTAGTTTTCTTTTTTAGATTTTTCACGCTTTAAGGAACGGTTAAAATATATGTGTTTAATTTTGTTTATTGCATCAATAAATCTGTATCACAACAACACCGATCATACGAGGACCCGCGGTTTCTAAAGGTTGACAATATTAATAGTCACCGGCTATAATCTATTTTCGATAGGAATTCAAAGCGGCTCTGCTTACAAAAAATGAGGCTGTATATTATTTTTCAATAACATTCAGTATGTTTTTACGGAATAGTCAATTAGACGATTCTCAGGAAATGGTCATAATAGCCTATAAATAAACGCTTTGTTATTGAAACTAGATGGGTAATACTATTCGACTGCCTTGGGGCAAAATGATACACATGTTCCATAAGATATACAATTGGATGTATGTAATTTATTAAGATACTAAAATATATACTTAACCTATAATTTAAAGTTTATTAATTAGATAAATAGACAGTAAACCCGTGAACATAATACATGACTTTTAGATCTATATCAAATTATACATGTAATTCAACCAATGCACCGCACTATGCCGGGGGCTTATCAAATGGTTATTAAAACGATATCAGGTGCCACGATTTACCCATAAGGACTCCGATGCAAAGCATAAGAGTTTGAAATTGGGTTTTGCCGAAACAACAACGAGTAAAATTCTTTGCGAACACGTGCGTTATTTCATTGTAATCGAACAGAGTACAGTTTTACAGTGTCCGACGAATAAATGATTGTTTGCTTAACTCGTTTGTTTTAGCCGTGTACAATTAAATTATCGAATTCCGAAACCGAGTAAAACGCCCAAGTATTATAACTGTAATTTTCCGATATATGTCGTTATAAATATGTGAACAAAAAGTTTCCCGGACGTTTAAATTGGCTGTTGAATTTACCGTCTGACCAGACCGCATTATTGCCGTGCAACATCATGTGTTATTCAGAGTTCCCCTCAGACGATTTCGGGCCCTTAGAAATATTCAAATGCATTTTCGGAGGTCTCACTTAAGATTAACATTTCGCATTTTCACCGTCCAGTAGTAAAATAGACCTGGCCCGCAGGGGTTTCCTGTACAAACCTAAGTGTGCTCAAATACACAAATCGATGTTGGCATTATTTTTATTTTGCCAACTAGAATTTTCATTTCTCAGAAAGAAACTAACGAAACGTCAAGTGACGTACACCCGAACACTGTTGTTACAGTGTGTAAATATTAACAAAAACAATAACGCTGAAATATATGATGATACTGACTTACCCTTTTACGGGATTTCATGGTATCCGTTACTACAGCGGACGGAGATGAGCTCGAGTAGTTTCGATATTTTACTTCAGCCTTCAATTTAATAAAATCTTGAACAATCAAAATAGTTTTTTAATTCTGACGACGAATTTAATAACACTCGTAAAACAATATTTCCAATTTCGTCATTCTCATTTTTCGGCTACTGTAAACATAAAAGTAATAAAATTAGTAAACAAATAATATACCCTTCAATTATATTACCAAAGTGAGTAACAGAGGAAATTATTATTTTCAAAGTACGTGCTTAGGGCTCAGACGCGGTTATCTAATAATTGATATTTGAGATACACAGAAGACTAGCGAAAATTACACGGTACACGTGACATCCATCACGAGGTGACAAACAAATGACTGATGAAGGATTTGTATTAAAAAAAAACTATATAATAAATTATGTCTTATAAAATGTCTTTGAATTTCATCGTGTCGTGTAGCTGGGTAATTAACGAGAGTATACAACACCGATATTTAATAAACCCTATAAAAGTTAACCGCAAAGTAGAAAATATACTGAACGAATAATATTTAAATGAAAGGATTTTGTGAATTACAACGGCTAAAATTTATGTTTTTAGTAAAACAATAAAAACACAAAAGATGAAAATTAAAATCAACTTTAAATAATAGCAACTATACTTAATTTTATGTTTTTTTTTGTTAACATTGTTGAAAGCTTTAATAAATTAAAGCGACAACAAAAAATATAACATTTTAAAATAAACTTATTATTACTTAAAAATACTTTAAGTCGACCACTTCAAATAACAATAGGTTCAGTCATTATTAATTAACTTTCAGAGTGTATAAATATCTCACCTGCGAGTAATATAAATCTATCAAGAGGAGAAAAATATAGTAGTTTTTGATGATATAATTAGATAATGAATGTAAAAATTGTAAATGAAAACATTACAGTAGCGTTAATATTACAATTACATTAAAGATAATTTTTACTAAAACCATAATCTTTTTTGTTTTTTGTGCAATTCCGCAGCACGAGGGAAATGCAAAAATGAAAGAATTTATTTGTCTACAAATTTATCTATCTAATTTTTATTAACACAACAGCAGGTAAAACGACGCAGTTCACAGTTATTTATATTTCTAATAACTATTATGTGAAACTATACCATGTCTAATGCTTCTAAACATTCTGTTACATGTAAAATGTATAGATTCTCAAAACTGAATAGTCATTATAATGTTATCGAATAAAATTTATTTTACGGTACAATGATATTACTTTTAAAACTGAAAGAATGGCGGTCTATATAAACGATGCAGCTTTTGTTGTATCGACAAAATAAAAAATGGATCTGTACCTAAACTGCCTTCTGCCTAATTGGTGACAATATGTAAACACTAAACTTTTCGAGAGTATAGAAATTATTTTGAATTATTCCTAATTCTGTATTGTCAACTATGTATACGAAACAGTCACGTATTATTACATCAATTAACTGTATTGACAATAGTCATGATGATAACGAAACATCAAGAGCATACATCGTATTGAAGAATATTACAGTAATGTTCAACAGAGACGGGGATATTATTTTGTTTCTATGCAAACGTGTGTGTCATTTAACTATCTTATTGTTCCCGCGAAAGGGTGTTAGAGTTAAATATTTAAATAGAGCTAGAAAAAAATAAACATAAAATTATCTGAATTATTTAATGGGATAAACTTTTACGATAAAGTGGCGTACTACAAAGACGTAATATGAATGATATATCACTCTCCAGAGAGATCTAGGGAACATTAATATGAAATATAATTTAAGCGTCAATGTGTTAAAATAGCATAATTTTTTTATAATGTTCATAAAAGTATTCATTTTACCCTCTTCCAAAAAAAGTTATTATTACGTTTCGTCGTTTTTTTTTTTATGAAGCTTAATTTTTCTAGTAGATAAATTTAATACTTTGACGATCACCGTTTGACTACGTCTAATAGCTAAAGAAGGTTATTATTGGAAAAAGGGTCACTATTCTAATATTCCATTAAACCAAACAAAGGTACATTACAACTATTATAGTTGTAACATAAATATTATGAATGTCATGTACGCCAAAATTCACGATGTTATCACTGTCATTGGCAACAAGTGATTCGATCTCATTTCATTGTATTGAAAGATACAATAGAAACTTTTAGTTCTTTTTCAACAAAATTGTATAAACCTACTCATATACATTTACAATATTATGTTCTTACCAGTTGTAACAGATATACAGGTCTTGTGTAGATTAAAAATACACATTTTTCATTTTCACGGACGTGTATTTTTTTAAACACACACACGCACAACAAACGCGCAGTATGTCCACATTCGTTACCGTACGTCCTACGACTGTTTAGACGCAAGTTAATATTACTTCTATTTTTTCATCGTAATTAATTATTTTTACCATAGAGGAGGTAAAAACGCGACGGCTCTTTAGATCCAATTATGTTGGTCGTATCGAGGTCATTTCTAATATTGCACACGTTTTACTTCCACCCAATTCTCATTATTTTATCTTTAACTTAGGTGCCGTTGTATAACATTAATTTACTGGCAATAATAGGACGATAAGCTTTTGTTTACCAAAAGTGTAGGAATAATACCAACTAACGCACAATGATTAGGCGATTATGTAATGAATGAATGATATTAAGCCGCCAAAGAAGAAATTTTACACAGACGTGTTTAGGCTTATTTTTTATTCACGTTATAATTAGCCAGTAGTTATGCAACTAGTTCTATGAGTCAATCTGTTAAGATTAGATCCATTGAAAAAAATACAAAGGAAATTGGCACATGCAATGGTTTTTAATTACACGTGCACTGGTTAAACAGGTGTATACTCATACAGAGTATTATTAACAGGGTTGTTACGTTTTAAACATGTGTGTTAATAACAATAAAAATTTTAAAATTTACATTGGTCTTACGGGACATTTTAATCTGTTTACTTAAGTTTTAAACAGGTTTTTTAACAACCCTGTTTATTAATAAAGTGTTAATCATTACAATTATTTAAAAACGTTATAATTATTCGACTAAATCATCGCGCCGCAATGTACAAGATCTAAAAAAACAGCGATGAGAGGCCGTTGAAAAATGTAATAAAAACCAATTGGCGCACATTATGGTGTGAATAAAGCGAAGCGGAGCGAGGGGAGAACTCTCAGTTAACTGAAAAACAAGAAAATATAATACATAAAATAAAATGGTTTTTCTTGGTTTTATTTTTAATCAATGTTGGCTGAACTTTTTTTTCTATTTAGTCATTGGTGTGTATTATGTCACAATGACGGTCTTTGAACCGTTAAATACATCAATAGCGGAAACTTGAAAATAAAGCTATTTGAAAAACATTAGCCGTTGACTTGGCAGACGCTTTTAGATAATTCGTCTGGTGTTTTTTTTTATTTAAAATATCAGAGCAATCGACCTCAAACTATATACAAACCCAAATGAAGTAACGTGAGTGTTAGTCAGTGTTATTCGGATATTATTATTCTCAATAACACGTGCCCTAAGAGCCATGTGGTATTTCATTAATGAAAAAAGTCGTTGGCTCGTTTCCATCATAACCCATTGGTGAAAAATTTCTTAAACTAGTAAATACTTTTTTTTTTTTCTATACATTCACTTTGGAAAACTTTTCGTAACTCACCACAGCGCAGTACTACACGAATTGTATATTTCTTTTCGAAAAGAAATCCGTTGCCAACCTAAGTCTGGGTATCTGGGAAATCCGTCCAACGATTTCCTGTTTCTATTATCATTGTTTCCTCGCTCGAGACGCTTCGAGTGCTTTCAAAAAAGAGTTCGTTAGCGTTTTGCTTTGATTGCAATCAGTAAAATTGACAGAAATTGTCCATTGTTGGGGGTAACGGTAAGATAAAACTTTTGTTTTAATTTAAGAAAAAATTAATATATTTATTGTTTATTAGTCATTATCTATTCCGGCGTCTCTTATTATTTTTATTTTTAGATATTAATGGTCAACAATAGAGCGAATAAGAAAATAAAGAAAATAGTAATAAAAAATAATTAAAGTACTTTGTTCGACATTAACTTAGGTTATGGCACAGCCGAGAAGAAAGACGATGCCAAATTAAATGATCTCAATTTGGCTAAATTTTTTTTTTAAAAGCTCAGTTTCCGAGAAAAATATATTGTGCATGCGAACAATGCGCTCGTGTGTGATTTCAATTTAATATTGTCGCGGCAGAAATAATAATATTGTCTTACAGCCACGTAACGTCGACTTTTTTTTACAGGCACTTTAAACGTGATTTGAAATTTGCAGTTTGTTATCGTTTCCGTTCGGCTTACAAACGTGAAAGCATTGATTAAAAATATAATCCACATTGTTTTCGTTCTGGAAAATACTTTATTGTGGCTTTATAAAGTGATCGTTCAGTTAATGTATGAAATATTTTCATATAGGCAGAAGCAGAGATTTTTGATCATACGAAAAAAAAACTGTTGTAATTAGAATGGATTACGAATACAAGTGGGATACGTTTAAATCTTCAACGTATGGTTTTATTGTAAAGCATAATGTAAATATGTTTGTTGTGTGTCCACAGCATAGTAAATAATGATTAGAACGAACAATTTATTGAAACATACAAATCATAGATGTAGTTGAAGTACTGTAGTGACGGTATGCACTGAAGCGAATAAAAGGTATTCTTCGTAAGCTGCATAGGAATATTTCCAATGCGAAATTAACGAGTATCAATACCGTACATTTAATATTTTCAAATGCCTACCCACAGATTTCAAACGTTCTTGTTACGTTTATTTAGTGTTATTTATAGTCCACGTGTGTATTCCGGATTTTATTACTGTCGCATCCGATTTCTCATTAACTATGAAATATGCGTTGACCAATATCTGTTGTATTGCACTCGACTCGACCACAGTAAATTAGAGTGAAAGCGATGGGTTAAACTATAACACCAATAGCTCACGCGTTTTGGGAAATCTATTACGATACAGTCATTGAAACGGCAATATAACATCTACAATGTTCTATATGCACAAGCAATTGTATAGTTTTGCTAATAATTTATTAGTAAGTTAAATTCATTTTTAATGTCGTACCTATTGTTGGATTTATTTGATGTAATAATTATTG